AGATCCGGTGATAGTTGATGGAATTTTTTATTAAAAACTCTTTTAAATAAAAAAAAAGTCTGATTGGATAAATTTTTGCTTTAAAGATTTTTTTTTTAAAGCGTTGACAGTTTTTAGAGTGTATTTGCCGGTCACCCCCTAGTGTAATTTGTGTGTACTTTCCACATCAAACAATCATTTATTATTTAAATAAATTAATTCAACCTATCTCCAAAAAATATTCGAGAAGTCAAATAGTCACAAAAAAAAAAAATTATTACTTTTTTGGCCAAAAAAAAAAGCATCAACTAGTTTGATAAAAAAAAATTAGTTCTCTAAACATCAAGTAATTTGATATTGTAGCGTCTTTCATGTCGTCTACCATTTTGTGACATTCAATCTCCATTTGTAACACTCTTGCATTACTTTATATCATTTACCATTTTGTGACATTATTCAATCTCCATTTTACTCTTGCATTATAGTCGTTTTTATCTATGTAAAAGTTCCCAATATTTTTATGAGATAACTCAATTGATGGAAGACAGCTCGGAATTTTTTTGATTTTATGGTAAATTGGGATTACCACAAAAAAAATTCTACATCGAAACCCATATATGTCCCCCGAACAGGGTTTCGTGAGGCCGGTCCCAAGTGAAAATCGAACTAGGGATCCAATAGCAACCAATACCAACCTTCTTTGAAAGAACACACCAAAACACCAATAAATCTAGACTTTTTTGGTAATTTTTTTTGTTGTTGCTAATATGAATCTAGACTTACTTTATCATATTTTATCTTCCTTGATCGTTATTCTTCTAAATAATAAAACACACAAATTGCCGGAAAAAATAAATCTTAATTATGAAATATGTATCTCTCGTTTAATTTGTCTATGCTTTCTCTCAGTAATACAATTTAAATATATTTGTATGAATTTGTGGCTTTTGGTAGAACAACAGTGTTCATATTTTTTTTTTTTGGTCAAAAGCATAACTTTTATTTATGTTGAAACCGTCGACAAAGTACAAGCTGATAATGCTCGTTTAGCTAGCGAATCCGCCAACATATTGGCTTCTCGTGGAACAAAAGAAAAAGAAAGCTTCCTAAACTGAGAAGCTAACATACGAATCTCGAAGAGTAGGTTGTGGATTTCCGTATGCGATTCATGCCTCCGCAGCAAGTTAATTAAATGTGCATCCGAACACACATGTATCCTCTCCACTCCTTTCTCTCGAGCCTTCTTGAGGGCTTTAATGATTGCCCATGTCTCGGCCGTTAAAGCCGAATGCACATCTGGACAGAACTCAGAGTGTTCCTCCATCATATTCGTCGTTTCTTCTTTGAAGTGCCAACCCAGTCCCGCCTGAGCTTTATCCTTGTCCCATGCCGCATCGGTAAAACAGAGTGTTCCATCATCTGGCAATAACTCCTCTGGAGACCCGGATACCCTCACTATTTTTGATGGCAATGCTTCTTGAGCCGATTGCCAAGACTTTGATTCTCTAATCGCTTTGGTAATGAGCTCCTCTGGAGTAAGTGTTATGTTCTCAAAAATAAGGAGATTCCGAGCCGTCCATAGATTCCAGCAAATCCATGAAGTCAACGAGGCCGACGTAACACCGGTTGCTGGTAAAATCCGAGCTCGGCATGAAACCGTAATGTACTCTAGCATAGACGCTATATCAGTCCATTGCAATGGTATCAAGGGGGCAAGAGTCCAAACCTGTTGTGCCCAATTACAGTGGAAAAGTAGATGCTCTGTAGTTTCCAACTCTCCACATCTCGTACATAGACCGCCATCACCCAATCTTCGCTTAACTAGTTGTTCTCCGACAGGTAAAGCTCCTACCACCGCTTTCCAGAGAAAGCTCTTGATCTTGGGTTGGGTGTGCAATTTCCAGAGTTTTTTTTGCCAATCAAAGTTCTGAAACTGGGCCGAAACCGGTTCGATGGCTTTAGTCCTGTAGCCACTTCTTGTTGTGTATATGCCATTCCTTGTAGGGAGCCAAACCAGCGAGTCAACATGCTTTGTTACACCCAACGATAGCCGGCGAATATGGTTCTCATAATCCGGTAATATCTCTCTAATACGGTTCCAATTCCAGGAAAAATCTGTTACATTTATCAAGTCCGAGACCTTGAGATTAGCTAGATGAGCCGGGGACGAGCCCATCGGTCTTAGAGGTTATGAAGTCAAGAGCCAGGGATCTTCCCACACGTTTATTGATTCTCCATTGCCAACAAGCCAGCCTAGTCCCTTCTCTAGGACTCTTCGACCCGCTAAAATTCCACGCCAGCCGTGAGAAGCATTCGAAGGCGGTGAGCAGCTTAAGAACGGTTTATTGTGACAATATTTTTCAAGCATAACTCGGGAGAAAATTGAAGTAGGTACAGAGTGTTAGAGATACGATGATCAATCACATTAATGTGTATATATTTGATTGCTCTGTTTTATGTACATTCCTTATTTAGCTTATTCTAGGTCCTTCTCTTATGATGTATATAATATCTCCCTGTATCACTCTTTGTGATATATGAGAAATATATTCTTTACA